GTCACTTTAGATGAGCGTTAGGCTTGGGTTAGCTATGGTTTATGATATTTTTTTTATCAAAATTTTTAATTGTCGGGGTGTCAGGATTTTTGTTGTCGGGATTTTTTGTCGGGATTATGACCTGTCGGGATTTCGCTTGTCGGGATTTGACCCAAACCCTTAGTGGTGGGGGTCTACCTAATTGCCGGTTATGGGTGGGGCTATTTCCTTCAATATTTCGGACAATTTCTTTTAATCCTGCTAGCCGATAGTGTACAAGTACCTTAAAGAATATTCTAGAATGAGCCAAAGTCAAGATCTAGACTATACTATATGCCACATAAGTGGTATATCACCAAAAAAATAGATACATAGAAAAGATCAAAAACTCTTATACAAATATAAAGTTGTAGTCGTTAGTTGTTGTTAGTTGACAATAGTTGCTAAGCTAATCTTAACTTCGGAAGAATAACAACAGAGTTCGGTGCATGCCTCAATCATAAAAATCATAAAATATTATATAGTTATTCAATGATTTACTATCTCAGTTTATGAAATAAGATCAATAATTTTATCATATATAAAATAATTGATTTATTTTATAGACTGATCATAGTAAAGCATTGAATAAATTTTTATATCAGACGATGAACGTACTCATGCTGACTTGAAATTATTTTCGATGAAACTATCTTTCCCCTAAAATTGATTTCGATATCATTGATATATGGTTCAAAAACTTTTAAAACAAAGAAAAGACGAATGAGAACCGCGAGAAAAATCCATACTGGAAATTAAATGTGTTCTGGAGAGATGACAATTAATGAAATCATAGAAAACGGAACCAAACAATTAGTTATTCTATTTTCGAACTTAGTTTGAGACAGTTTCATATCTTTCTGATCCCACTATAGTTGACGTCTAATTTACAAGATTCTACTTACCACGTTAATTGCCGCATTAATTGTCAGCAAAATTGTAAAATAACGCGGCATTTCCACCATATAATGCGGTCTTTAATGCGGTCTTTAATGGATTCGGAAAATTTTCCGACCAGTTATTATGGATCCTCAATTTAAACCACGGATGTGAATATTCTTTCATTAAGTATCGAGTGTCTAGCATAACGACCAATGGTTAAGTCTTTGGAGCACAATCCTGAAAAAAACGGTCAGAAAAATCCAAGCACACGAATATAACAACTCATTAATTAAGTAATAATACAAAAAAAAACCACACTAAATGCACATAATCGAGCCATACGGACAATTAGACAAAATAATGCATATAAAAATGGTGTCCATTTATGGGGGAACCGAACCAGTACGTACATACGCGCATTTTTTAAGAGATATTATCTAACCCGTGCATATACACATAGTCCGTGGATTTAAGAAGGAATTATATTATTAACGTTAAGGAAGATTATATACCGGTAGTCTGTACATTTATAGAAGGTCATTTGTACTATTATTTTCAATTAAAAATAAAAATAATAAAAATAATCAAATAATAAAAATAGAAATAAATAAATTATTGAAAAGGCTAATTGGCTAAACAACCCCTGCAGAGTATTTGATCAAAGATAGACAGTCTTTCTTGGTGATGACACTTAAAGAGGATAAATTGATTGAAGCAATTAAATTAATGGACATTCTTATGGATTATAATATTTTGGTAATTTCGGATCAGAGGAACCAAAGTCCAGACAATTCTGTACGTATGCAGGATGTAGGATACAGTACATAAATAAACGTCTAAGTTAGTTATCATCAAGCCGGGTACGAGATATCCTTGAAATTTAATATTTGTTTTATGTATACATAACGATAATGCAATCATTTTATTATGTATATACGTACGTACGTACGTAATTTTACATAACTGAAATACAAAAATTTGAGCACGTGCTGCGCGTTAATTAACAATAACGGTTACGCAACAATTTTAGTTAATACTGTAATAGCATAACCAATGGCGTAGTTTTCTATAATGTAATATCGATTTTGTGCTAGTAGCGTTTGCAAGGTATAAGAAAAGTGCTGCGAATGCCGTCGGTAACGTAGGTATCCGAACCAACCACAATTCCTAATCCTACCGTTAGGTTAATTAAATCAGGTAAACTCGTACATTACAACTCTAGATGTTCCCAAGAATAAAATAAGAAATTTTACGGTATACAATATACAATAACAGATAACAGATAATAGGTTACGTACGTACGGTACAATTTCATGTCACTTACCTGATATCACGCAGGTGATAATTTGCTAAAAATATGTATCTACAACTAACAAAATGCTAATCCTAACCCTATGTGATGTCGGGTAAATAGTTTATCGGGAAAGTGGGCTTCGGGAAAGTGAGAATTTAACGATAATTTACGATAATAATTGATAACACCCTCGAATAACCCCACTATAAATATTCTGACCAATAGCATTCAATTATTGAGATCAACTGCATACATGATTAAGTTTATTTTAGTTCAAACTCGTCCAAAAATTAAAGCTCAACTTTAAAATGGTTTAATAATTGCTCAATTTAGTACATTTACTTCATAACAAATTGTAATTATTTTTAAACCACATACATTCTGGGCTTATTATATTATGATTTCAAGAAAAAAGCTACGATCCCTTTGAAAAATGATTTATCTGTTATTCTGTATGAAATTATCACATGCCTAGATGTGAAAGATAATAATCAAATCCTAATGTTAAAGGAATGAAAGAACTATATGTATACGTATGATGTATTGTATATGATTTGGTAATATATTAGGAATATATAATGACCTACATATTAATGAGCAAAAACGCATGTAATGTACTGTATGTACGTACGTACGTACGCACAGTACTTGCGTACATAACAGATAAAGGTGAAAAAATTCATTTTATGATACATGTTTAATATATGCGTTATATCATTATTCATAACGGTAATAACGGTAAAATTCAATGCTCGCGTGACTTTCTAAGGTAGTACGGCGGATCAACTATTTATAAATATGATTCACATTCCAAGTTAGTTTAGTTTTTAGTCCAAATTTCTTAACTTTTAAGTACGAATGGATGTTATCGCAATTATAACGATAACGATAATAAAATTTAGTGATTTATTTTTTTCAATCTTATTAGATCTATAGCTGAAAATATTTACTGTACCCGAATCTTTTAATTCTATTAAATTTAATTTGGTATGTTCGGTAAATTTCTTTTATCTAGTAAATATTAGATAATCCTTCATTAATTATTGTATGATTTTTTTTTAATACAGCAGATAAATATCTAGTAATAGTTACAGAAAAAAAAAAATTCTATATCCTTTTCCGACAAATAGTTAAAAATCTCATTTTATTTGGATGTATATATATGGTAATTATTGGTTATTGTTTAATTACGAAATGTGTTCGAAAAATGCCATTTCGATATATCTTACATGGTTTTTTTCATGTCGGTGGTAATTACAAAAAAAAGCGATGGATAAAAGTACTCGTAGATACGGAACATCTCGTCAGGCAGCACAAAAATCTGCCCAAAAGATTAAAAATCCAACTACTTCAAAACTTAAATCCTCTAAGCATTCCGCCGCTCCTTCGAATAAAATTGATTGTGAACCAAATCCTCCCTCCATTCCGTCTAACCAACAAAATACTAGCTCATCCTCGATCGGCGGACAAGATCTTTTAGGTGGTTCTGATAATTCTAAAATTGTAGAAAGTAAAGCAATTGTCAAATCAAATATTACATCACCAAAATTGCCTGCCAAAAAATCTAATAAAAAAAAGTCAGCGTCACGTAATAATTTTACAAACGCAAAAGCGAGAAATATCAACGAATCTTTGATATTCGATAACATAGAACAAATTGATGAAGATGATGGGATGGTGAGTTTATCAAGCTTGATTGTTAAAATCTTTATTGTTCTTATTTATCATTATTTCCAACTAAATTTATTTCGGTGATTAAAAGGTTCTTATAATAACCAACAAACCATCTACGATTTCCAATAATCGTTCTTCTACCCAACCGAAAAATCCTGCGAGGAGACCATCCACATTTACCGGCATACCTAACCGTACAAGTAGCATACCTAACCGTACAAGTAGCATTTCTAATACTACCACCAATGGTAGAACACGATCAAATGCATCATCCGTTATTATACCTTCTACAACGCCCAAGTCGAGCGCTGGTAGTATCAGCTTTGTCCATCATCCGTCAGAGAAAATTAATGATTCAGATGGTTCAAGGAGAGGTTCAAGAATTACACCAAAGCAATCAATACCAAATTCTTCAATTAATAAAT